AGCCGAGCCCCTGAACAGGAGCTGGGTTGCCTGTCGTACACGCACATATGTTAGGGTACGGCACATGGTGCAAGTCATGTTGTGTGATGGCCAGCTCATGAAAACCCAGTCGCCTGCCTTTGTTCATGCTGGGCACAAAGCCACCCCTGAGCCTTGCTTTCAGTTACTCACGGCCCGCCCCCACCCTTGCCATGTCCCTCTTTCCTCCGTTCTGCCCTGCCCATCCAGCCCAACACGGAGATGGGTGCCGCCACAGCTGAGGTGGAAACCGCCATGGCTGCCGAAGGCGCCAAAGCAGGGGAACAGGATGGGCGGCCGGGGGCAATGCAGCTGCTGCAGCTAGGGATGGCGCCGGCGTCAGGCAGCGGGCTGCAGCAGGTAAATGGACATGTCAGGCTGCAAGCCACGGGTTTGTACAGGTGCCAGGGTGACAGCCGAGCCCTTGAACAGGAGCTGGGTTGCCTGTCGTACACACACATATGTTAGGGTACGGCACATGGTGCAAGTCATGTTGCATGATGGCCAGCTCACGAAACCATATTATTTTCATCCATATAATTCATCCATATGCAGTTTCCTAAAATCTCAGGTCCGGAAAGTGTCCAGGGTTCATCAAGGACCGAATTTCTTCAGCATTCCAACCTAAGCTTGGATGAGGAGCATGCTATTCGTATAGCCAAACAAAAGGAATTCCTTGCAAAGCTAGGACTTCAAGCCATTGTTGCCAATATCCGGTCGCCTCGCTCGCCTATCAGACGACAGAGTACCCACTCAGCTCCATTGGAGACTCGCAGATCCACTAGGCTTACTGTCTTATCATCAAAGCTTAGCAAGCAACAAGTGAAGGTATGTGGTGTCCCAACGGGTGGTTAAAGATACCTAGGCGGCGGACCCTACTTTAGGGTTCTCATTTCCTTCCTCTGTGAAAGATCTCAGTTCATAAATATTTACAATGTTTATTGTCATATTGGGTTTAACAATATTCTCTGCTGCAGATGCCGACCCATGCTGCAGAAGCGGCTGTCGTCGAGGACACTGCTGCAGTGGTGGTGAATCACGATCCTGAGATGCATCTTAAAATTTTCTCAGACCAACACAAAACTTGGGCGGAGATGCACAACCTGGATTTGAAGGCCGACGAGGGCCAGCTCCTTGCGGCCATCCTCCAGTGGCCTGAGCAGTATAAACTCTACTGTGGGAGTGAGGGCTCCTTTCATCACTCCTTTGCAGTATGTGGAATTCTGGTGGCGAATGGCATGTATGCCCCAGACTTTAACAACCCCAAGCTGCAGGCTATCAACCACTTCACTGAGGACATGAAGTCTGCCCTGCTGTCTGGGGGGCTGAAGCAGTTTGAGCTTGCACTCCTTCTTGCGGGTCTGAATGCACTCTGCCAGGGAGACGTGGGAGCACAGGGTCAGCAGGTCCGGAAGCGTGCAAAGTCTGCTGCAAGCAATGACTGCAGCAAGAGGACAAAACGTACCGCACAGGAGATGGCGGGCTTGCTTGAGAAGGAGTTTCACTGGGACATCATGTCTGCATCCAACTTCAAGGACATCCCGGTAAGGTGTCATGGTCCAGGATTCTTTACTATTCTCAACATACATCCATAGAGGGTTTGGCACCACTGGTAAGGCGCGACCATTGCCCCCGGGAGATCCCGGGATCGATACCTATTAGGGTTAAAGTCCTTCCGATGGTGGAAGACATTGCCCCCTTAGTTGATGGACGGTGGTGACCTGGGGTGAAGATAACCCTCAAGCTGACCAGGAATGGAGTTGGGCCGCTGTCGACCTGGCAGATTCCGTTGGAAATGGAGGTGGGTGCGGAACCTGAGCGATTCACTGAGAAGTTGACTAGGGTGACTGGATGAGGGTGCCCCGAAATACCAGGGAAGGCAGGGTTTCGCAGGGTAGCTGCCACGGGTGAAGATACATCCTCCTGTTTCACACATCATACATCCTGATGAAATATTTGCATGGGCTAACCCTAAGACACCCTCCTGTAATGTTGTATGCTTTTATCAATCCACAGGAGGTGAAGGTTCGGATTGCAGAACTTATTAATAAATTTGGCGGAACTGAAGGTGCCGCCACCATGGTAGGCATTAAGGCCAAGGCAAACACAACCGAGGAGGATGTTGCTGAAGAATTGATGAAGTCACTCCGCCACAAATGGAAGAACCTCCGCAACATGGCTAAGAAGACACAGAAAGAGAAGGGTGCGTGACTGTGAACTTGCTAGCCTCATCATGCTTGTATGTATAAGTGGAGACA